AGCGCTGGACGCAAGAGTGTACCAGTCCAACAGAAGTGAATCCTTATTACTGCCATCTCTGCCTCTTATCGTAACTCAGAACCCCCCTTAGTCGAGCTTAGTAAACCCCCATCAGCCATGGTGGTGGTCACGACAGGAAGAAATGCCGTATCCCATCTCAAGGTGCGATTGTCGTCTCACTCTGTGAGCTTCCGGCCCCAGCAAGCAACATTGCTAGATGATGGTATATTTTTCACCACTTCATTTGTAACAGCGTATTTAAACAACTTCGTAGATTTGTCCGATAGCGATTCCAGTTCAGGTGAAGGCGATGATGGTGATGGTGATGATAGCGAAGATGAGGAGCCAGATCAAATATACAGACCTACCGTAGGAGGGATAGAGGTGGACAATGTTCGGAAGGACTCGACATTGACTTTCCTGGTTCCTCACTCAGATGCATCTGCGCTTACGGCTATGGTATGGCTAAGGTTCTTGATCTCTGTCTACGAAACTCACATTCAACAGAAAGTACTTTTAGAAGTGGAATACATCACAACTGACGAGCCTTCTATTGTGCGCGTATCGCGTTTCACAAGGGTTTTGATCACAACATTACCTTTGCAAGTCAACGTCGAGGATTTTTTCCGAGGCACAAAGCTTATTTCCAAGTTCACGGTGTCCACGATGAGCCATCAACATATCCGGATTTGCGATGCTTCTTTAGATCTTCCACCAGGAGGGCCAGATGGCCTTAAGATCACTCCGTCGACAACAAAACGACGTGTCGTTGTATGTAACACCTCTTCTTGAAGTTTATTCCCATTAACCACCTCTTGTCAGACTGTGACACCTGATCAGCCTGCCAACTTCCTCTTTTCACTGGATTCGTCGTCGGGCCCTGGTAAGTTGTCAGCAGTTACTCTCTGATCATATTTTTAAATTTTCCAAAGTAAAGGAATCGTTGAATCTAATGATAAAATATCGAATGCTTCGAGAGGAGGTCGAGTCCATTATAGAGAAAGAAGTCCGGAAACTTGTCAAAGGAACACCAGCATCGCATCAACACCGAATCCTCGTTGTTAGCAAGCTGATAAACGCTCTGGAAAGTGACGCTGCCTGGGTTTATCTCTATGACATTACTGGGGAGCTCCATGTCCCCGATGTGCAGAAGGAACCTGGAGAGATTGGAGAACTGTTGCAAAAAGCGAGACAGGTACTTTTGACGTCACATGCCCATTTGCAATGCTGAACCATGGCCAGAATCTTGCAGAGCACCGACACGCAGACCCACCTGATGGGGCTTGGCGTGAAATATATATTCCTGTCGACGTTCCCTCTATGAATGTCAGTCCAGCTCGTTTCCTTTTTTTAAAAAAGTGTCGTGTGTCTCAACCCTCCTGTAGATTGTTGCCGCTGTCCGTATTGCTGTTTTGTCAACGCCGTTTGCCAAGGAGTCAGGCTCAAACGAATTGCCGGCGTTGTATGCTGGCCAACCCATATCTGCCAATCTCACTATCCACACAAGCTTCCATTGGGGTTCGAATGTGGACGATCGGGATCAGCAATACCTTCTTCGTTATAACATCGAGGAAGCCATTCGTGAGTGGCTTGTCAGTGGGCCTAAACGTGGGGACTTTGTAGCAAGAGTGAGTCGCATACAGTTTCTACGAATCTTGACACTTAAAGGTATCGTAGGATGGTGAAACTCACGTTGTCCCAATCACCCTCATTGCCCTGCATCATGGCGAATTCTTGCTGCCACGAATATCGATAACCGCACTTCCTGTCTCTGGGGCATTGACCATGGGTTCATTGGCTGTTCCAAGTCTCGAGACGTATCAAATTCATGGGGCTGAAAAGGTCCTTATTCTTCCTAGAGGCGGCAGAAGTACATTTGTGGTAGGGATGGGATCGGGCTGATAATAATGCCTTTACCCTGGGATACCTATTTATATATGTATAGTATGGACGAATTCGACTAATGGACGGAATGCTGAATACCGAACGTCTAGCAATACCACTCTGAGAATCGTACGTGGACTCGCTGCATTTTCTTGGTGCAAGTGCGTGAGAACACGTTTACAAGAAACCGACTTGATAGTTGTTGTTGTAGAAGCTCGTCAACAGCTTGGGTTGTGTTGAGCAGCCTTGAGGACCGTGGGACCAGCGTCTAATAATCAGATAAGTAGCACACTTGCACGAGGATGGGTTTACTTCAAGCCACTATGTATGTGATTTAAAATTCTTTTGGATACGCGATCTGACCTAGCTCTGTAGCATGAACGAGCGAGGAGCACACCTGAATTTCGATGTAATGAGCCAGGTTATATTCTGGCTTCAAACTGAAAAGGAAGGGACGGCACCTGGTGCCAATCTTCTGCCATCTTCAGCGTACCGATCCAGCTGCAATGCTCTTTTGTCACTTGCAAGAGTATGTCATGCTCTGAAGGGACCCTCTTTGAAAGCTTTGTGGCGAAGACAAGACCATCTTTTGCCTGTTTTAAAGTTAATACCACAACTGGCTTTGGAGTCACCCAGTGCACAAAGCAGAAGAGGTTATTGGGTATATTTCTTACCATTGGTTGATGTTATCGACTTTGACGCATTTTTACACACCTCAGTTTATAGATGGGCTGGTTTCAACTCCGGACTGGAACGCATTTGATCGCTACGCACAGATGATACAGGAAATACATTTCTCACCGCGGATGTACGAATCAGAGGTCATCCACGACTCTGTCTATGTCTATATTTCCTCAGCCAGGGAGGTTGTAACATTTCCAAACCTCTCAACGGTCGCCACGGTGGTGGGTACAGTGCTTCATCTCTTCTGCTCCACCACCCTCCGTCGGATTGTTGTCACCGATCCCGTGCAAACGGATCGACCTAACCCATGGGCTTCAAACTTTATTACTCGGGCCTGCGCCATGTCTCCAAGCCTTCAGCAAGTGGAGTTGGGCTCTGTATTTGTCCACGTCTCGGCTTTACAGGCCCTCCTCACAATCCACGGAGTACATGCCCTCCGATTCCAGTTGACACCTTTGGCTCTTCGCACTCATTTTCAGGACATTGTTGGTAAAGTACCAACTTTAAACAACCTCGAACATTTGTCCATCTGGTGCTTCGACCGTAGTCATAGCACTCCTACACCTTCTAATGCACACGCACGCCTTTGCCGTTTGCAAGTACCGAAAATACACACTATCAATTTCCAAGGCTCTCTTGAATGCATAGTATTACTATGCGAAATCATTCAAGGAGCAGGCCTTCGTTCCTTCTGCGCAACAGCACGTCAGGAGTCTGTAGAATACAGTCAGGTCCCTTTCTACGAGCGAATCTGGCAACAGCTGTGTCTTTTATCGACGAATGACCTCGTCGAAATTTCGTTTGAAATGGGCTATCATAGGCCAGGCTTTGATTCGACGATGGTCAGCCATCTTCATCCCTTGTATCAGCTACAGAACCTCAGGAAGTTGTCCTTCAGGTCATTCACGCCATTCGTGGTCATAAATTCTGACCTCAGGCTGATGGGCGAGTCATGGCCATATCTTCGAGTTCTCATCATTCCATTACCCACTTCCCTGTGTCCACCACGCATAACCCCTCGAGGTCTCAGAGTGTTGGCAGAACTTTGCCCTTACCTCGAGACCTTGGACCTTACATTTGATGCCACCGACCTGTCGGCTATTCCTGTAGACTTTTCAAGTGCACTGTCCGATGCAGGAAACGCGCATCGGAACCTGTTGGATCGTGCGGAAGCTTCGCTTTGGCGCTTGAATGTCAACGATTCACCCCTTGGTCAGACATGCGTCGAACCCATGATCATGATGCTCAAACATTTGTTCCCAAACATAGAAACCCTCGATTGTGCTTTTGGCTCGTATGAGTCGGCCTTTCTATGGTCAGAGGTTCGCGACGGTGTCTTGGATTACAGTTGACATTATAGTCCAGTACTGCGTAAAAATTGTTATTAGTATGAGTCATCCGCGTCTTATTTCTCTCGTATCCCTAATAAACTTCAATTGGCAAGTAGCTATTCTTTATGCTTCTCATAATATACAGTGACAAGCTTGTCGTAAAACCAGCGTCTAAGGGCTTGGAGAATAGACGCGCGCGTGGAGTGCAGCGTTCCGAGTTCTCCTTCATTTGATATGCAAAGTAGACTATATATTCCTCGAGATTTGAAAGTGCTGGTGATTAGTGAATATTCTAGTCTGGAATCTATGCAACGGTTTTCCTGCCAAGGTATATATGACTGAAGTCTTCAACTTTGGCTGTAATATTCCCAGTGGTGTTATTCAAACTTGAGACAAAATTTGAATAAAACTGAACTTCTTCTGGTTCTCTTGACTTGTATCGAATAAAAAAAAGCATTAGAAATAAAAATTCTGCCCCAGTGAGGCTCGAACCAGGCGATACTCTTTTGGGGATTATTTCCGACATTGCTGACGCCACGCCAAAAAGCTATGATGGAGGAGATTGCTCGACAGAGGGTATTCAGGGATATTTGGATGAGGTGCTCCAGCTCGTTGACCTTGCTGCTTCTTCGTCTATCTTCCCAGACCCTGCTTGACATTTTGTACGAGTACTCTGTTCCAAATAAATGATTTTCTGCTTGTGCACTCTGTTATAATCTTGATTCACGAGAGACGAGAAGCGAGGACGGCTGAACCCCCCTCGCTTGAAGCTCTCTCTCCACCTAACAAATCTGGTTGGGTCATGAATAGGCGAAGGTAACATGGGAGGTGGGTGGGTAAAAAAGAAAGTTAATAGGAATAAAATAAAGATTAATATTGTGACGAGCGATGAGCGACAGGAGAATTACGAGTAGAGAAAGGATGTAGCTTAAGAGACGAAGGAGAGGGTAGGCTCCCAAGGTCGTGTAAGCTGGCAGATCCACGTGATCAAGAAGGCGAACCTGAACTTCGTCCCTTGTCCAGGTCCTGTCTGATATCCGTGAGTTGAATTCTGGATATGAAAGCGAAGCAAAATGGAAGAGAACGAAATATAAAAATAAACTGCCCCAGAGAGTTTCGAACTCTCGATCTCCCGATGTATGGCGCAAAGCGCTTAACAGTCGGACGCCTTAACCAACTGGGCCATGGGGCACTTGCTCTTATTTCAAGATATAATGTCTGTCATAGTTGCATATTTCATACGTAAGCAAATTTTTCACACGCTTTCAGAATCACAGTCGGACGCTGTAACCAACTCAGCCATGGGGCACATGTTTTGTCAATGCGAAGATCTATCTTCTCGGTCACGTGTGCGAGACCACACCTTCGACGATGATGGGAACGAGGTAGCACATAGGGAACCACTCCCTCTCTCCTGTATTTGGTTTAATGTCAATATGTCCTTTCCCATCGAGCCCTTCATCTTTATCGATGGGCTCGCGAGTATTTCTCTCTTCATCTTTTACCACTGCCATAATCTTGCAGTGGTGTTAGTTTACTCGTGCTCGTTCACAATCTCGACTCGTTTTTTTTGCATTCGATTGCCCCCAGCGCTCAGGTTTTGGCACGTTGTCCCCGCCTTCGCACTGAGGTCTCAGGTTCTTCCTCGACCTTCTGGCGTCTCTTTTGCGTGAGTTTCACGTGTAAGGTCTCTGGGAACCCTCGGTTCGACTTACCCCTTGGTAGTCGTCTCGTGCGGTCGTGACTCGACTCCCTCTCGATTTGAGTTTCTCGTCACGACCGGCCAAAGCCTCCGCAACCTAACGCATTCGTAAACCGAAGATGTTAGTAACCTCCCCTCTCTGATATTTCCTTTATTCCTCCTTAAAATATTGATATCCTCATTCGGAAGCGAGCTCTCCTGCGAGCGTTTATCCCTGGTTCCCGCAGCATACTCGTAACTCTTATCCACTCGCATTCTCTCATTCTACTCACTTGCTGCATTCTGTACAACCACGGCGCTCGCGCACTCTGCTTCCGTGGTTTTCATAGTTAATTTATCTTCTTTTGCCCACCCTCCGCTTCCCCCTTCACTATTGATCGCTGTCCTTTCCTCTGTGCTGCATCGTCCTCGCAGACTTGTCGTAGGTAGGGAGGGAGAGCCGAGGGTGGCGGCGCATCCGTCCACATCCTCGGCTCTCACACTGGGCCGGGAAACTTGTCTCACAACTGCTTTCCGATCCCAATCCCGAACTCCTCCTACCTACATACTCCTGGTCTCGCAACGAAAGACGCAAGAAGCATCTTCGATCTGTCAACATATCAAACACTATGTGTCATCTGCTTGCTGGGGTATCAATAACTAGTCAAGAAGACAAATTTTCTCGAACCCTAGCCCATAACGGCTTCTCTCGACCAATTGCAATACTACCAAACAACGGACGCATATCATCTGAATCATAGTCCTGGGAGTCATATTCTAAGTTTCTAAGATTAGGAAACAGATTCTTGAGCCAATTTGACGTTGGTTCCACACAGTCCGGGTGGAGCATAGAGTAATTGACATGAAGTACCTTGAGGGGTGGCTGCGAGCGCTTAGAAACCCATTTCTGATCCTCCGGATCTGGAACAGACCACGGGTTCGTAGCGTCAAATGTGAGACTCATCTGCTCCAGATGGGGACAGAGTTCTGCCAACATGTTCACACCTCGAAGTGTTGATTTTGGTTTAGGAGTGTAACGGGAGAGTGGGATGATCAATGTCTTGAGGAGTGGCCATGATTGACCCATGGTACGGAGGTCCGAGTCGGTGGGGATAAATGGAAGGGTACTGAAGACCAGTTTGCTGAGATTGTGAAGCTCATAAAGAGGTGAAAAGTGATTCAATCGCATAGGCTTGAAAGGCACGAGGTATTCATTGTTCATGTATATCGATAGAGCCTCCAAATTACCCGATGACAGCACACCGAGCTGTAACCCGATCCGTTCATGGAGTGCGCCTTGGGCGGCGAGCGAGATCTTTTTGTTGTGAAGGACGCTGAGGATGCATCTTCGAAGGGTTTGGCATTCGATTATTTCGCAGATAAATGCCATATAGTCTGTTGGACCGGAGAAAGAAAGTGAATAAAGTTGGGGTAACACTAGGCGCCGTGTGGAAGAGGATATTGAGGGTGGTGATGGTAATTGAACATCTCGAAATTCACGCGGACAATTTATTGACAGGTTTCGAAGAGAACGTAGATTCGTAGATGAAGTATCGATAAGATCATCAAGTTCGCCATTGAAGAAGGATGATGTGACGCAAATCTCCAGTGATCGCAGTCGAGGGATACTGAAAAGGGTTCGTAGAGTAGAGAGATTGACCGTAATATGTCTCAACGACACAGCGTCGAGATAAGGGGACATATGGAGACGATTTATGAAGCTGGATGCCCATGGGCTAGACTTCGTATCTGCGAGAGAATTGGACTCGAGGTACAATTCTACCCGGTTCAATGCCGGCGAATGAAACATTGGAAGTCGAAGATCGGCCACAGTGCTGATCACGGATAGGTTTGGGAAAAACGGTCCACTCCTCGAGTAGAAAAGGTAGCTAAACACCGAAGGATGGACATTCTCTGTGTTGTTCCACATCGAAGTAATAGGTACACCGCTTCCATCAAGTGGTAGGTGAACCTCCTTAACCATGCCTGCATGGTAGTCGAATCTAGCCCAGTCAGAAGGGGAAATGTCTCCATCAAGGACCTATTCCAGTTCATCCATGAGCATCCTTGCAGAAGTTGGAAAGTGGCACGTACCCAACCGTTGCGAAAATCGGAATCCAATTCAAACTGAGGGATAAGCCTTAATATCGGCAACAAGCTCGTTTGATTCTGCCACAGCGCCTGCAGACAGGGCGCCGATAGTGTACGACAACTTTTTGCCATGGAGAGTAGATCAGAGAAGCCAGCTGTTCGACCCCTGTGGGCAAGTGTTGGTCGATCGTCTGGATCTTCAAAGGTGTCTCTTGGGGTGTCTTTCTCAACTAGAACATGGGATATGATATTGGATAGAATGTCGAAGTTCAACCATTGGGGAAATTCTGCCATTCTTGGACATAAAGTCATTGAGGGCACTTATGGATGAGAGGGTTAATCAAGTCAAAGATACCTTCTAAGTTGATACACGTCCATCAGCTTACCATTTGACCTGATATAGTCATGGCCGATATGCCCGACACCACCAAATAATTGTCTAAACTACTTCTAATTGAATACCCTGCTACGAACTTTGGGCCAGTACATCGAATCTTGACTCTTACCGTAGCTCGATAGGCTGATAAGATTTGGGAATAGATACCTAAGTAGGTCTGATAATGGCTCAATACAGTTGTAATGAAGGATAGAATCGTTGTCGAACAAGCACCAAATAGAACGCTTAGATAGGTTTATATCCCCGTCTGTAGACGTCAAATATTTCATCGTCGAAGGACCATAAGCATCAAACGTCAAATCTAATTGTCCGAACCGCGGACAACACTCGACCAACAGTTTGACTCTATAGAGGGTTATTCGTGGTGCACACATCGTCGCTGGCAAGGGAATGGCTAACTCCTCAAGGAGAGGCCCATCCGCTCCAAGTCAGAGTTTCGAGGTAGAAAGGGTATAAAGTCGACAAACTACCACAGTGTGTGTGGCTCGATTCAAATGCGGCTGGTGGTTCACAGTCAGCTGACTTCCAAGCGGACGATGAATCAATGTCAAAGGATATCTGCGACATTCATAGTAAGAGCAAGTATCAAGAACGTTGTAAACGCTGGCACAAGTGTATCCCGGTCGGTCATCATCAATTGATCAAGAGCAGAACGAGCAAAAAACTCTGCCTCGAGAGTCAACGGACTCGGATATAAGCTCGCCGCTTCCCTTCCCCACCACCCCCGCACCATCACTGCTCCGTCCTACCCGAGTCCTCGAGTCGCCGAGCTGTCTGTCATCCAGGAGCACAACCGACAAGCGCCTGTCCGCCACACGCGTATGTGCTCTATCCAGTCCCATGGTAGCTCCTCCGCCCCGAGAAGCCGGATCGCAATGGCAGCGTCTAATATACATACTTGACAATCTTATCTACTACGAAGTACTTCAAATATGTAACTTACTTGCTTGTGTATACTCCGTTAGTAAAATGAAGAGCCTCCGTGCCCCGCATAGGTACATCCTGATTCCTGATATCGATGATGATCAACAATATGAGCAATATGTGAATTGGAAAATGGTCGGTTGCATTTAAGATTAGGGGGTCCTCCCTAGTGGCCATGTCAGTGGGCAAAGCGTACTCATTCATATACATCGTAGCATAACAATACAGAGAGTATATATCGTGTTTATTCATGTACTTATGAGGTTCTAAGATTCCGATAATTTAAAGACAAATACAGGGTGAAAAAGTCTAGTTAGAAGAGGCGGTTGAAAGCAGTGGAAACAGCAATGGACTGGGTGCCCATGCTGAAAGCGATGGAGTTCGAAGAAATAAAACACCGTTTGAAGAAGCGTTTAGTGAGTATCCGAAGGCAGGGTTGGCTTCTGGGCTGGTTCTTGGGCGATGAACTCGCGAGTGTACTCGACGAGCTTGTCTGTCTGCTCTTCGGTAATGGCGTTGTAAAGCGAGACGCGAAGACCTCCAACCGAGCTAGATATCAAAACGCATCAATTTCTGTGATCTTTCAAGAAAACAATCTGCACAAACCGATGTCCTTTGAGACCTTTCAAGCCCTTAGCTTCTGCACCGTCCAAGAACCTCTTTTCAGCACCCTCGCCATTCACCGCGAAGACAATGTTCATCCAGCTTCCACTGCCAGGCTGAACAAAAGGCCTCAACACACCCTTCTCCTCTCCCTCTCTCAAAACGTCATACACCTTCTTCTGCTTTCTCCCATTCACCTCTTCGTAATACTTGAGGCCGCCCAGCTTCTTGTTTCGCTGGAGCACCAAGCCAGTGACGTAGATCGCAAACACCGCAGGCGTATTGGGCATGCTCTTCTGGTCTACGAAAGGCTTGTACGAGAGTCCGATCGGCACAGGGGTCGCGCCGAGTTTGGCAGCGGCATCAACATCGACGATGCAGTCCTGTCGAACAATCGCGATGGTCAATCCCGCGGGGCCCAAGTTCTTCTGCGCACCGGCGTAGACGATGGCATGGTCCGCAAGGCGCGGAATCGGGCGAGACATGAAGCTCGAAG